AAGCACTGAATATCTTATTTCAAGCTCAGAAATTCAGCATGGAATAAAAATAAACCAGCTTTGTCATATCCTTCCTTCACCAGGGAGATGTGCTTACCTCTGCGGACATCAATGACTTGTACCTACATATCCCAATATTCCCAGTGTACCAACAGTTTCCTACGCTTTGCTGTGGCCCCCTGCATTTTTAGTCATTTGGCCTGGCTCTTTTCTGCCCCTTGGCTATACACCAAAGTACTGCTATGGTCTGGAGTCATCTCCATTGTACTAGGGTACAGTTCCTCTCTTTCCAGTTAAGGCTCATTCTACAAGAAGTGTTAGTGCTTCTTGAGCCAGCATTGGGTTTCAGTATCCTAAATCTGCAAAGCTGCCATCTGGTCCTCTGTTCATAATTTTGCTAGTGGATGTAAGTTTTAGCTGCAAAGTTCTTTAGGCTACCCTCTCAATTGTGCCCCCCCTTGTGTTATAGCTCCCTGTTGGAGTTTGTTTTCTCACTGCTGTGTTGCCTGCCCCTCTGTTGGACAGCTTTTGGATGTCCTGTTGGTTACAGAATTAATTCCCTGTGTTCTGTGACGAACAAGAAAACAGGATTTTTGTCATGCCTGTAAAATACATTTCATGGAGTACATCATGAGACACGGGACCCTCACTTCTGTTTTTCTGTGATTAACTCTTGTCCTGTATGCTACAAAACTGGGGCAGGCTGAGAGTAGGAGGGGTTATACAGAGCTGTCCTTACAGCTTTGATTTGACAGTCTCCAATCACCTGAAGGTAGCTGCATAACCTTTTGGTTGGACACCTACACACACACACACACACACACACACACACACACACTCCTTGTGTCCTGTGATGTACTGCACACACTCCTTGTGTCCTGTGATGTACTGCATGAAACAGATTTTACAGGTAAGACAAAATTACTGATAAGATGTATCTGGTACCTGTTCTCCCTTTAAGAAAAGCTGTCTGATCCATTGAAATAATGGTAGGAAAAACAGACAACTAAGAGATACAATTTTTTTATTAAGTAAAGAATTTGGTCTAAAATACTCAGGAAATTCCATATTCTTTCCCTTGTGAATAAGTTGGGTGGAAGCAGACTCACTGGAGTTTAGCTTTAGGGCCCATTTACATATCTGTGCACGTTATGTTGCACATTAATGTGTGCTGCAATAAGGCAGCCTATTGAAAATAATGGGCTGCCAATGCACCAAAATCGCACATATCTCAAAATGTGTAATGCAACAGACTGTGCTTTGGGGTGGCATTAAAAATGAATGGCAACGCATGTAACATATTGCCACATGTTACCTCAATGCAAAGATAACAAATGGGTTTATAAAGTCCATGCATTTTACCTGCATTGTAGAAATCTGGAAAATACCCGACAGCGCAGTTACTATACACAAATCCTCAATGTTACTTACAATCATTTTAGCTCATTAAATCATTCTAAAGCTTTCATGGGTTGTCTTGTTAAGCAGTCGGAAAATATGTATGACCCAAAGAGTTCATCCCATGTTTTTATCCTGGCAGACAAGTCATTTTATTTATTTATTTTTAACACCAGATCGACAAAAGATGGCATTCTCTTCGAGGAGCATGGGACAGTGAAGAGCATATTTTACAGGCTACATAAATACTGTGTTCTATGTTTTGGGACATCAAGAAAAAATTTCCAAGCTGGTCAGCAAGCCAAATTATGAAAGGTAATCACACACATGAACAAATATAAAATGTGTAATCCATGAAGATGCATATGCTCATAAAATAGCTGACACATTAAGCATCTTAAAAGGGCCATGTCAACTTAAATACCTTAACTCTCCTTTTCTTGGGTAAGTCACTGACCTGGAAATAGTATGTGATTATTGGGTGAACCAATGTCTGCCTAGGCTTGTTCCAGGTCAATGAATCATTAGGTAGTGAAGCCAGGATAGGTACAAAACCCCTAAAGTCTGATATTTCATATTCATAGTTGTAAAAAAGCTTGTCAGGGCAAAATAGATTTCTAGAATTAAAACAGAAGTTGGGCATAAGGGATTTTTGTTGTTGCTGGGCTTCCCTTAGCTTTTGGCATTTCAAATGGTTAGTGCCAGCTAGTGTTAGTGTTATGGGTGCCTTAACTGGGAAAGTACCCTAAGTGTATAATTATCTAACTATCTAGCAGATGAATATCTAGTTGTATAGCAAAACAGACAAAATAAAAGTCTGCTTTAAAGAAATCCTGTTAACAGGTTCGTTTTAAATCTAGTCAAATGTTTAACTTAACACCACTATGCCACGGCCTTTGTTCATTTGGCCAGAGGGACATCAGGTGTCTGCCCACGGAGTGCACTGTCGCTCCAGTGTACTGAGATCCCAGGAGCAAGGACAGCTGCAGTCTGATAATGTCACTTTGTTAAAACCAACTTTATTGATTCAGCCAGTGGCACAGAGTCCTGCCTCCGGTCCACCCCCTCTAATGTGTTTTAACCTTTGGGCTTAGTAGTGGAGATAGGGGTGGTCTTGCAGGATAAATCATTTTATATCATAGCTTATAATTCACAATTATGGCCAATGCTGTGCCTTTATACAATATGTCAAACAAAAACCACGTAAAGTTGCTACCATCAGGAGGAGGCCAGGTCAACTTGATCAAGATAATACTCCCATAATGCCTATATGTCCTGGCCCATATCCCAGGGTCTGTCCCCAAATACTATAAGCATTTGAATTCAGCCCAATCTTCGTTTATTTGGGCCAATACCAGGCATAAACCTAAATGATCAACCCTACAAAGGCCCAAGTCTGGAGACCAGTTTAGCGCTCCCAGATATATATCTATTTTACCTGGCAGGCCTGTTACATTTGTTACCATGGTATATGGTTTCTGTCACGGCTAACACCTACCTAGCAGATGAGCTATAAATGGAGCAAGTTTTCATATATTTAGGAGCTGTCCATATGATTTCCTCTCTCAGGTCAGATATACTGGAGGCTAGCTAAAACTATGTGGGCAATGGGCTAGGAAGATAGATACTTTCCTGGTCAGATCCAGTATGTTGTCAGAACAAATTCTCTGGGATAACTATTATATCACACCTTACCCCCATTCCTGATCCCGGAGCATAGAAGGCCCAATGAATAGTAGTGTTATCAAATCTATACTATAATGGACAGCTACATTCATATGCTCATCTTCAGGCTTTCCCAAGGGGATTTTGTTACAGAAACTGTACCTACAACTGTGCCACATCTTAAGCACCCAAATAGAGAATATCCTCTGATTTGTATTACTAGATCACAGGAGCCATAGTGTCCGATTTCCAATCTTTACTTGCATTTCTTACACAATAAACTGGATTAAATGTCTCTACAAGTAAAGTCTAAAAATAGTAAGTACTAATGCCTTCCATTAGTGAGGAGGACTGGGATGATGTCTGTTCTTCCTATCTTTATGTATCCCCTTATTGGTAGCCACGCCAATATCGCCCATCCCTGCAATATGCCTGTTTGGTATCCACACCCCTTACTCTAGCTCAGTGCATAGCTGTGGTAAATCAAAAATCCTTTATAAAAAGGCGATATGATAACAGGAATTATTCAGATAAATTTCTAAAGATATGGAATGTGTGGAGCAAATCCCCCCTCACTTATAATTGTTCGGATCATTTTTGAATAAACATATACTTCCAACGCTGATTGCTGCCACTGATACTACTGAGGTGACAAGAGGCACAGTTTAGTGTTTTATATTGTAAATGTTTATTGACATACTTGTATTTGGAATAATATTGTACATGTAACCTGTATGCATCTGATGATTAATAAACAGAACTTAAAAAACCTACAAATTTTAAACCTAAAACTTTTTTTTTTTACTGTATTGCCTAATTTGTATTCTATTTAACTTGTTGTTTCAGGTGCTTTGGCAGCATACAACATTGGTCCAGGGAACGTCAACAGTTTTGATGCCATAATTATATATATATATATATATATATATATATATATACATACATACATACATACATACATACATATACATAGGAGAGTTTAGATCACCTGGCCATATGACTAATGATCTCTAGCAGTCATACCATATTTAGTATCTAGGTATATCTTTGTTACACCCATCAAATCTTGCATCTACCAGACTAGCTGTGTTTTTTAACAATGGTATCCATTATCCATTCATGACATGGCACTCCAAAAGTATGGGTGAGTTTTGGCTTAAGTAATCACTTGTTTACGATTAAAACTCCTAGTAAAATGACCTATAGAAAAGATAACATTACAGTAAGCTGTTTTCTATTGTGTGGAGATATACAACAAATAAAAAAATGGCATGTATATGAGCACCAAGAAAAGTCCAAAAATGTCAGTATACGAATCATTGTAGCAGTTATTACAACACTATACTTGGCACATTATAGCTGGGACTTTAGATAGCCCCATTGCGCATGACATAAAAAGATCTTTAGTGTATTAGTATTGCCAATGCAATATGCTGGAGTGCAGCTAGTAGGAAAGTTCAGAAGAATAGCTGCCTGACATATAGCCACAAAATGAAATGGTCAGTTATCTCGAGTTGCTTGTCAACAAAACTGACTAAACAGGATTTGCCACAATTATACGCTACCATGTGCTGGGAAAGTATCAAAAGGAAGTGCTATATACTTATTTCAAACACATCACTTCATGAAGTGTATAAACATATAGAGGAGATCGCAGGAACACATGCCAAGGAAGGAAAGCTGTGTTTGCATGCTTTCATATCACGTCATATAATTACTCATATTCAACACAAAAACTATTTCATATATAAAATATAAAAGGCATAAAACACAGGTATGGTTTCCATGATAAAACATTATGTATAACGAATGTTCAGTGTACTAAAACAGCAACATGACAAGTTGTTGGTTCTTTCAACACAGGTATTTTATATGCCCCAAAAGTACACGTACACCTTCAACCGTTCCTGGATTAGACATCAGCTATGACATACCAAACCTCTTTACCACTCCAGTTATTTAGAATACCTCTTTAAAAACGACTCCTTTGTGCAGAGTTTAGTCAGGTTTTTCTTGTGTGATTGTTGTGGAAGATATCAACTGATGTCTCATAGCAGGGCCGCAAGTCATAGTCACAGGAGCCAATAGAAAAACGACTCTATAAAACACATGGCAAATAATTGCATTTTGATGTTGTTATTAAATATTGAGTTGTGCAAGTTGCAATATGAGTTGTGCAAAGTCTTACAGTTCATTTTGTTTAATAAATGGTCACAGTTTTAGTAGAAATGCCTGTCCCCTGCCAGCATGCTGCAACCCTTTCTCTCTGTGTGGAAGCAGTCGTCTCTGTATAGGTCAGACACACCCCTGCCAAGTCAGACATGAAGCATTTCAATCAGCAGGGAGCATAAGCTTTGGTAATTGGAGAGCTCTAGCGATGACTCAATAGGGGGAATTTTTCCCACTCAGGCTGTGGCTGCTTTCTAAAGAAAACAAACTTAGGGGTATATTCACAAAGCTAGCCGAAGGATCAGCCGAAGTTTTGGCTGATCCTTCGGCTAGCTTCGGTTGCAGGAACCCTTCGGTTCAGTCGAACTAAAGGGCTGCTGTACAGGCTATTTACTATAGCCCATACTGCAGCCGAAGGCGGCCGTACGCCTCGCAAATGACAGGTGGGCGGAGCCAGCCATCATCTACCGGTTAGCTCCGCTCAGTTTTAATGACAGATCAGCGTCCCCAAATGACCTGGGGACGCTGATCTGTTATTAAACAATAACAACGTCACAGCCAGCTCCGCCCAGTTGTTATTCATTAGCCGGGACCTGCTAGAAGGCTCTAGCAGGTGCCCGCCAATAGGAAACAGTTGGGCAGAGCTAGCTTGTAATTTTAATTATTTTTTCTTTTTAAAAAAATATTCTGCACTTTTGCTCAGTCGAACATGCAGAGCATGTTCGGCTGCTGACCAAAGTGCAGCCGAGGTATGGCTGAAATCAGCTGTACTGAGCCGTAGTGAATAGCCGAACGTTGTTCGTTGCCTCCGGGAACAGCATAGTAAATAACCCTGTAAGTCTTTAAACACTTTTTGTTTCGATGCCCCTGAAATGCATTTAGCTGGAAGTTCATTTGGGCTTGAAGATCAAATATTTAAAAATACACAGATTTAATAACATGCACATATACAGTATCTAGTTGTTGCCTAGGAATAAGTGAAGCCGGCGTCCTAGCCACTCAGGAAGCCGGGTCATGACGTGTCACCCGGCTTCCTGATTGGCTAGGAAGCCAGCTTTACTTGTTCCTAGGCAGCCTGGTTTCCTAACCAATCAGGAAGACGGGCAGCACGCCATGACTCGCGTTCCGGCTTCCTGATGGGTCAGGAATCCAGCCAGCCTCGGCAAGTGAAGCTGGTGTTCTTTTGCTAGAACACCAGCAATCAGGAAACTGGGCAACGGGTCATGATCCGCCGCCCGGCTTCCTGATAATTGGGGCACACTACACCAGTACTTCCTACCTCCCCTCTCTGTTTCTCCAGTGCTGACTGGAGGGATAGACGAGGGAGGGGGCAGGCACAGCTGGGTCTGCTTCTAGAGAGGCTTAGGGCTGTCCGCATATAGCAGACCAATAGTAAAATGTCTTCCTGTGACTCTAAAGAGAACTATTAAGAATCCAATGTAATTGAGCCCGATTCGTATGCCATACCCTCAGTCCAGACTTCCAAGATCTGACAACTCTATAGAAGCTGAATGTTGGCTGTAGGGTAGGGCCAATAAGTTCACTTGTCCCCTGTATCCTTAAAAGGCAGGGACATCCTTTACCGGCAAGGTTAGTGACTGAAGACTAGAAATAGCTGCATCAACCTCTGACACTGCCTTCTCCAGTGGGTACTGCTGTGCAAACCACTTTATTGGAGCCAACAATTTTTCAGGACGTGGCCAATCCACATACAGCAATTCCTCTACCATGGAATGTAGAAAGGTCTTAATGGGCTTTTTTTTCTTAAGGGAACCACCACTGGTGACATATTTTAGACAACCAAATTTCTGAAGATGGGTCCCCTTGTGAGGAAACAGAGTATGAGGAGGTATGAACTTCCACCTCCATTTGCTACTCCACCACTTAATCGGGCATAAGGGAATTAGTCATGGACATGTCTGATAGAGAGTCAGAAGGGGAAGGAGAGAGTAGACTATGCTTATACCCTCTGCAGCCCTCAAACATTGCAGAAATATGTACCATTGCAGATAAGCCACAGCCCTGGACCTGTGCAGGTTAGCACCCTGTGGCTAACCCAACATGCATGTGGTGCATATGCCAAGGATTTCTGGGAGTGGGAGGTCCTCACAGCTCTGGCCACTGTCCAATACGATCCAAAAATTATCTTATGTCTTAAATTTATTTCGGAAAAACAGCAACGCACTTCCTGGCATGCAAGTCTGCTAAGGCACTTCTGAGCCTACAGTTTTATAGATGTATATGTGCAGCATGAGATCTTAGGCTGCTTGTTTAAGGAGATTTGGAGTTAGATTTGGTGATGTTTCTACTGTGCTGCTCACTATTCTTGCTGGAAGCTTTGACATGAGGGAGGAAGCAAAGCCTTGCCTCAACCAGGATGACAACCTCCACACAGAGACTCCGTAAAGAACAAAGCATGGTAAGTCAGTAAAGTGGAAAGATCAACTCAGGAAGGCCACTGGCAATACTGATGACTACTCTGCCTTGCTCTTTTTGGGCACAGCTCAGTTCCCCTCCCCCCCTCTTGTGAATGAGTAAGGGGTAGTTGTACACCTACTCATTCACTAAAGAGTTAAATAAAAAGTAAATAAAACACACCAGACTTTTGAAAAAATCCTTCAATTGCACAAAAGACATAAAAACTGTTTTTGACAATTCCTTTATTTAAAAAAAAAGAAAAAAAATGATCCAACGATGTAATCCAACGTCAATCATGTCGCCCAGAGATGTAATCCAAGGTCAATCATGATAACAGACAATGGAGACTCGCGGGAACAAAAAAACAAAAAGCCACCACCTGACGGACCGGAGGCTAAATAATAAATTTGACAGCCCCCAGCCAAATGTAAACAGATGGGCCAGAGCCAGTGGTGACGTCACCACTCACTGTGCTCATTTGTTTTTATGCCATGACAGTTCACTGACAGTTTACTGTCATGGCATGAAAACAAATGGATGGAGCGAGTGGTGTCGGCACCACTGGCTCTGCCCATCTGTTTACATTTGGGCCAAGAGCTGTCAAATTTCTTATTTTGCGGCTGCAGTTCGTTGGGAGCAGTCGGGTCCAGCGGGATATTTTTTCGTTCGGCGACGTCGTTCATCATGATTGACCTTGGATAACATCACTGGATGATGTGATTGACTTTGGATTACATTGTTAGATAATTTTTTTTTTCTTCTAAATAAATTCTCAAAAACTGTTTTTGTGTAGAGAATTAGAGTCAACAGCAGGGAGTGAACTGCCCAATGTTCGCCTCAGCGAATCCAGATGTTGGATCGGCTGAGGCGAACGGGTTCTTCCCTTCGGCTCTGCTGACTGTGCTGAGGCTGCTCGGCTGAATCAAAGGGAAGTAAAGGGAGCCGAGGGCAGCTGAAAATAGTCTTACAGGGCTGAAGTGAATACAGGCGTTGGCTCCCTTCCCTTCGGGTCAATTATTCACTCGGCTGCCTTCGGCAGCTGAGTGAATAACCCCCTAAAAGATGATCCCTTGCAAGTCATGCTACTATTAAGGCAGCAATTAGTTTAAATAAATAAAAAAAGTGAATCCTACAAATATCTGGGGTGTCAAAGAAAAGTCTCTGTAAAAGAAAACAATTGTGACTGGCTTCTTGATTACATTTCTTTTAAATCACTGGTTTCATGCAGAAATAAGTTAGTTGACTTTGAAAATGTCACTTTCCTTACCTGAGGTTTCTTAAAATAGTCAAGACCTCGCCCAATTTTTATCATCCAACCATTGTTAAATCTATCATAAAGAAAACAGAATGCATTTGATTTAGTTAAAAAAAAAACAAAACACAGCAACCTGGAAAAACTAAACGCAGAACTGAATGTGGAAAACATTCCCACATAACCCACTTTTTTTAATCGGTGGTTACGGTTCACGCACAAAACACTCAAAGGCAATGAAGAGTGGTTATTTCTAACAACCTTTACACCAGAGAGGTATTAATGGGAACCATAGAGAGCTTCTGAACTAACAGCACTAATATCTAAATCTGCCCCCATGTATGCACGAGAGATAGGGACCCTAAATTGTAAGTTCCTTGAGGGCAGGGACTAATGTAAAGTGCTGCGTAAATTGTTGGCGCTATATAAATACCAAATAATAAAATAAATAAATAAATCCTGCCCTTAGATCTTAGACTTTAGTTTGTGTATGAGTCACTCTACCAGTTAAGACAGCAATCTGTTGTTCTTTTATTACAGTTTGACCACCTATCTTTGATGGATTCCTTACTTTAGCCATAAGAGAAATACAATACAATAGTTTAGTTTTACATTTGTTTCCCTTCTATTCATAGCATTGAGGATACATAGCACAATATTAGAGTTGTCAATGTTAGACCATTCATCATTCAGCTGAAATGTTTTGGCAGACATCTCATACCTGCAGTGTGGCACATGAAACCGCAGTTACTAGAAATTGTCATGTTTTGCTCTGAAGGACTAAGGAGTGTATAATATTATTACTAATTGCTTGATTGTATCAATCTTTCTATCGGTCACTGTTTTAATTTTGTAAATCTTTCTAAAAATGTAACCTTTAAAAAAAGAAGAGCATACATGCTGAAAATCATCAAAGTATACCATGGAACACAGCTTTCAGTTTTAACAGAATTCCTTTCTTATTCCACATGAGTGTGGTCATTTTATTACCCGTTTTTTAATAAGTAACAGATGGCTAGATGCATGTCAAAGCAAGCAATACCATGTCCCTTGGCGTCCTCACATTCAAAACACTGTGTATAAAATGTGATGACTCAAGGATCCTCAGACTGCTGCAGCTGAGGAGGAGAGAGGCTCCAGGGTCCATTCTAAGGCAAACCAGCTCCGGGAATTGGGCGAGTATAATTTTTTTTAGCACCTAGACAAAAACAAACACTTAACTCTTGCAGTGCAAGGTAGCCACACTGCAAAGGTTAAGAACACTTTTGCCCGGAGTTCTGCTTTAACATTAGTGAGCAAGAGGGGCTTTATGTTGGCTCTGTACCTGATTTCCCGGTCGTGGATGGATGATGAGAAGGTGAACTCTAGTAGAACACCATAATCTTGAAGGGAGATTTTGATCTCTTGCAGAATACACATCTGTTGATCTTTCCCATTGTCCTGCTCCAATATATAACAGTAAACATTCTTGACATGTTTATATTTTTACTATTAAAATGTAATCAAGAATATTTAATATATACTTTTAAGAAAATATATAACATATTTGCAATATAATACACAATGCATGCTTTACAACAATGTGATAAGATAGTTAAACAGTTTTTACTTGAGGAACTAAAAACTTTGCTCAGAAGCTCTGTCCATGTGGCAAAGGACCAGTCACCAGTATTGCCTATGTCACCCTGCAGCTGATTTTTTTTCCCCATTACCAACTAATCATGCCTTGTTCTGCACTGTGTCTATGCAAGAATGCCGCTGTCATCTTGGTAGAGGCTTTGCTTGCTCATGTCAGGCCTTCCAGCAGTATGAATAGCGAGCAGCACAGCGAGGCCCCATTCACACTTGCCGTGTGTGCAAACATGTGTCATTTTGCCCCCAGCTTGTCAGCCTATTTATTTCACTGGGCTACGTCGGCAAAAACGCAGCGGCTTTATGTGTTTCTTGACCCTATGGTGTTATCAAATCTCATGAGACTGGCAGTCACAGGCAGTAATAACTTAAATTCACACTGTAAATATACAGCTATGAATGTCCGACATGTAGGCACAGTAGTGCCTTGGAACACACTCACATCAGGCACTGAACTGCTATGTCCAGTAGGAATTCAAGACAAACAATTAACAATTTTCAGGGTACTGCTTAGGCACACTTACAATATTTAGATGTTCCCTACAGCATGGTTAATCTTCATTTTTTTATTTCAGGTTCACTTTAACGTAAACCTGGGAGGACAGAAATATTTGCGCTTCCATTGCCGACTTGCTCCTAAACGTGCAAGCTAGGGGACATCATCCTGATTCTGGCTTCACTACCCAGTGTCCATGACTAAGAACAAGTATGCTTTGAGTGAAGTCCAAACTCTCGTCTTACAGGCTTTTTCTAGATTGTTGACTTACTAAGTAGTGAAGCTTGGATCAGGTTGAAAACTAAAAACTGATATTTCTATTTTGACTGCTTACTGGAAAGCAAATTCACACAATGGCTTCCTATAACTCTTCAGCATCCTAACAAAAATCAAACATGAGCGTTGAGTGGAAAGACCCCTTATAAAAGTACTTTCAATTGCAAAATATATAAGTGTACCAGAAAAACAAATCCTACTGAAATGTTTCATTTGGAAGTAGGCAATCATGTCACACTGCTTGGGCCAATGAGGTTTATTTTATAACATAATTAACAACATTGTGATTTATAGAAAATAGCTTTCACTGGCCTGACTTCACTAGACTGCATAAAAATATAGAATTATGGGTTACTGCTCTTTGAGACATACCACTTTTGATTGGTGTAAACTCTGTATAAACTCTGACCTGGAGACGTCTTTCAATATCTCCAGATGAAGAATTTTCTACAAACCTTATCTAGACCATGCCAAGATCTATCCTCGCTCACACTTTTTGAAAGAACCCTTAAGAGGGTGCCCAGGCACCAGATTTGTACTGTTGAGTAATCGCCAACTATCTGAGCCAACTTATGCCTCTAAATGGGAAGGGGATCTGGGCACCTCCATTACACAGGCTGATTGGAATCAGATTTGGCTTACCACAAGTTTGTTGCATGTCTTGACAGTGGACACAAGCTATAAGCTTCTCTTACTGTGGTATTTGGTTCCCTTACATATTTCTGGGACTGCTCCTTCATACTCACCTTATTATTTCCAAGGCTGTCAGGTATGTTTTATCATATCTGGTGGGACTATCCCAAGGTCAAGCAGTTTTGAGGTAGGATGTATCAACTCTTATACACAGTTACAGGTAAGTCCTTTCGTAAGGATCCTTTTGAAGCACGGTTACTTAAAAAGCTGAAGGTTTGCACCCTTCGTCAATTTAAATTGGTCATTCACACTCACTAAAGCCAAGAGAGTCATAGTACATGCATGGAAGTCCCCTGATTTTCCTTTTGCTGAGGTCAAGTGGCAAGCTTTGCAGGTTTTTTGAGAAGCTTACGACCATTCAAAATAAAACCATACAAACTTTTCTGAAAATCTGGGAACTATGCATCAATTCCTATCTCACTACCTCATTTCATGCGGATTCCTTCACTATATAATCTTGCTGGTCTTGTTCCCATTTGCCTTCCTGGGGTTTTTGCCCTTGTAGGTACCACACACAGCAAACTCAGTTCTTTCTGGCATGATTCTTTCTTGGTTTCTCTTTCCCCTTTCTTTTTTAACTCCCAAATACCCATACTCCTT